ACTTAACCTACCTGGGAAGACGCGTAAAATATTACCTACAGTTGTTCATAAATATGTATGTATGAATGCATTTAGTTTACCCACGCACTACTCAGTCCATGTCATTGATGTGGATATCAGTAGAAGGGTCTTTAAACAAGCTATCTACCGCTTGCTTTTTTAATTATAAAATATAATATGTCATAACGTTACCGCCTGAAAAGTAAAAATCGGGCTTCTGAAAATATACATTTCGGGCATTTTCTCAAAAACTGGTGAGTCGATTTTATTCTAAGTTTCCTCAAATCTAGCCCAAAACCTTAGCTTTCATCTGGTGTATAGCTTATATCTGGAAAAACTCTTGTTGTGAAGATATTGCGATTCAAATTGAAAAAATGTCGCTCCAAAAAGGGTCAAATGGTTAAAAATTAGCATATTCGTCTAATTTGCTTACTTTAAGATATTAAAATAACACCCAGTTTCCCGATTGCCACTTAACCCTTTGTCGGGCAAGGCCGTCTGCAGAAGGTCTTTGCTTTATATGTATTCAAATTCAAACCGCATAGTTGTCGCGTGGTTTGTCGCTATAGTTCTTTAGTTTTTAACTGGCTGCACGCAACATTGCAGCAGAAAATGTTTTCAACGGCATAATTTGACGGTTTAGTGAATTCAAGTGAGACACAAAGTGAAAAGTAGCTCATACATTATTTTGAAAATTTATAATTTTTTAAATTAAAAAAGAAGTGGTTTACAGTACAAGAATTGAGTGGGCAATTTTTCTGGTAAGTAATAATATTGTTTGCTTTTATACTTTACGTTTGTTTCAAATTTGGGGAATAAATTTTCGGAGATTTTGTGCATAAAACCAAATTTCCGTTGCACAATTTAATAGCGTAACACTAAGGTGTTGTGTAGATTTGCTCTTTTTTACTTTATAAATTGTTACTTTGTAAATTGTTGTTATTAATTGTTGTGCTACTGTTATTTTTCAGAAAATGAGAACTCAGTCTCAAACATCTTATGGCGTCAAAGGTGTATGAAAATGCATGTAAATGAAATAGCGTTCTGTGGAGACTCTGAGTTACCATATGCCGTGAGAAAACTTGTGACACCGTTGGAGTTTTTTAACAATTTTTTTTACCGATCAACACATCACTGTGATTGTGTAGGAAACCAATCGAGCAGCGCGTTCAGCAGACATAAATACGCGATTCACCACTAATACGCGCAGATTCGAAGATATCTCGGCGTTCTGATGTTTATGTATATTTTTCGATATCTTGACATAGAGGCACACTGAAGTGAGTTTGGATTTAGACATGTACCAGACGCTTTGCCTTGGAAGAAGTTTGTGGCAATAAAGAGGCATTTGTCGTTTGCTGATGAGAGTAACCGTATCAAAAAGTGTGAACCCGGATATGATCCACTGTTTAGAATAAGGCAAGTTATTGATACTTTGAACGAACGCTTCGATTCCATTCCTAAACAAGCTCGGTTATGTGTTGATGAACAGATGTGTAAAACGAAGGCAGTGCACCATCTACGGCAATATATGCCAAACAAACCCAATAAATGGGGTATTAAGTTGTTTGTTTTGTGTGATAGCAATGGATACTCATACCGGTTTGAGGTGTATAATGGTGCTGGTGATAACACTGTTCTACCAGGAACATCAGATCTTGGAGCAACTAGCAATGTCGTCATCCGGCTATCGCAAACAATACCTGATTTCGTCAACCACATCCTATACTTTGACAATTTCTACTCATCACAGCCACTTCTGGTTTATTTGCGAGCTCGTGGTATATTCTCGTTAGGTACCATTCGAGCAAACAGAATATCGAACTGTAAGCTACCATCCGATTCAGATGCGGAGCTGAAAAAGGCAGATAGAGGGTTCGCAGTTGAGGTCGGCTATGCTCAAGTTATGTAGGTGTTCAACCATTTGCAAAAGCAAATTCTACCAACCAGCCATCGAAAGCGCATCGATACAACAGAAAGAAAGAGAGAATACATTGAGATAGATTGCCCCCAAGGAATTCGTGGGTACAACTCTCACATGGGCAGTGTAGATCTAATGAATTCGTACATGGGCAGAAACGGGTTGCGTATGAAAACTATGGATACTATGACGCGTATCTTTTATCATCTACTGGATATGGCTACTACCAATGCTTTCATTCTGTACCGTCGTAAGAAATCATCATTTACAGAGGAAGAAAGGAAAGAAAAGGATTTGACGCCCAATTTGTGTGTATTTAAAATTTTTTTCAGTCATATGCCGAAATTGTTGCATTTTTCCCCATTTTAATTGTAGTTATGTACATAGTATTTAACTATGGTACATGGGTTTATCACCCGCACTTAACCTACCTGGGAAGACGCGTAAAATATTACCTACAGTTGTTCATAAATATGTATGTATGAATGCATTTAGTTTACCCACGCACTACTCAGTCCATGTCATTGATGTGGATATCAGTAGAAGGGTCTTTAAACAAGCTATCTACCGCTTGCTTTTTTAATTATAAAATATAATATGTCATAACGTTACCGCCTGAAAAGTAAAAATCGGGCTTCTGAAAATATACATTTCGGGCATTTTCTCAAAAACTGGTGAGTCGATTTTATTCTAAGTTTCCTCAAATCTAGCCCAAAA